ACAATTTATAGAGCCTGAAGGAGGAAGTATTCTGGCCTTCTTCATAATTTTGAAACTGCCATATATTTGTTTTTAAGGCAACAGAGCCTGTTTAAGCTGATTTATCTGTAGCTACTGGTTTAATTTCATTGAACCATGCTAAAAAGGACAAAATGCTAATGTCCATGCTTTGTTTATGTTCAAGGTTGATATTTCAGGGAAATCAGGATGATGTATATTTTCGTTACATGGCTGTGGGCAGTTGACCATGGGGTATCTAAATTGTAGCCTCCATTTTTATTTATTTATTTGAACACATCTAAAAGACACCTAGCCACAAATAGTATCCTAACCACGTAAGAAGGTTTTGACTTGATCTCCAATCAGTCTATTTTGTTTGTTTTGACTGTGTCTTTGCTTTTTAGTGATTTTGGATTTGTTTAAAAGCAAAAGATCTATATTATTCCTTTTTTGCAAACATCATTTTATTATATACATATTCCATATTTTTAGCTAAAAGTTAGCTTTTGTTTAAACAATGAAAGAAAACAAAGCATCTATCTGAACTGGGTTGTGAGGGTAAAAAAAACCAAAATTGTTGGCAGCGCTGGGACTGGGAAAAGTAAAAGCTTTGCATGTTTTTAAATTTAATTGTGTTCCTTATTATGCAAATAAATTGTATTTATACATAGCTGGAATAAACTAAGGTTTTTAAGGGATAAATTGGGTCAGAGAAATGAAAATAAAGGGACAATATCTTTCAAGTTCTTATTTTTCAGGAGGCTCAGCATAAATTATTTTTTTAAATGTTTAATTTCAAACACATTTACTTCTCCAATGGGACAATTCTTTTTTGTTTTGTTTTGTTTTGTTTTTGACACACTGTTCCCATCAGATAGCTTCATATTTCAAATGTTCTGAAGCCAATAGAGGAAAGTGTACAAAAATAAATTGGCCCTGCGACTATGCCCTCTGAGAGTTCACTTGCAGTTTTGTGGTCCTGTATTTAATGAGGATTACAGTTCTTTTCTTCATCCAAGGATGTGGACCAAATAGTGTGAGCTGAGCTTATTACCCTATTCCTTCCCAGGGCTACAAAACCCTTCTTAGTCCACAAAATTTGTCTTCAGCCATTACTCTTGAATTTCTATTTTGGGGGCATGTTTTATAATTCTGGAATTTTTTACAACTAAAAGTGGAGAGAGTTTAGTCCAGTCTTGTACCCAGTAAAGAACTGTCTTCTGCAAAATCCCTGACAATTCAATAATGCAACAAATTATTACCCCAAGAAGTAAAGTTTTTATCATAGAAATGTTTTTGCACCAGGAAATAATCAGTCACCTTTTTAGTAAGCCCAAAGATTACAAGATGAATAATAATAACAATAACAATAATTATTCTTAAGCATATACTACATGGCAGGCATTGTGCCAATTGCTCTATGAGGGAATTGTTATTATTAACCCCTATTGGAGATGAGGAAACTGAGACTTTGAGAAATTCTCCAACTTCTCCCGGGACACGGGGCTAGATGGAAACAGAGCCAGAATCAAACTCAGCCTCTCTAAATCAGAGCCCCTGATCTTAACCATTATAGTGCACATTTTCCCACTCAACCAGAATCAGTATCTCTTTAATCTCTACCCAATTAGCCTAAATTCTACCCTTTGAGGCCAACCAGATAGTGTTCATTCCTTGTCTCCATTCATTTATATAGCAAAAAGAATATTAAGTACCTCCTAGGTGTTTGATACTGTCTTTGAGCCTTTAATACAGCAGTGAAAAAAAGGATAAAATTTCTGCTTTCATCGTGTTAACATTTTAATCCTGTAAATCTTTTGAAAAGACCCACCAAGTTCTAAGGATTTTCCTCTCCTTAGCCCAAATTTTCCTACTCCTTCTAACCACTCATCATGGAGCAAAGTTTCAAATTCTTATCAATATTGGTAGTTTCCCTCCTCTAAACACATTCTGGTTTTAAAATCAACTCTTTTAAAACACAGCTACCTGATATGGTTTGGCTCTGTGTCCCCACCCAAATCTCATGTCAAAATCCCTAGTGTTGGAGGTGGGTCCTGGTGGGAGGTAGTTGGATCATGGGGGTGGATTTCTCATGAATGGTTTAGCACAATCCCTTTGGTGCTGTTCTTGTGATAGCGTTGCAGGATTTTCTCAGTTTTTCTAAAAACCGGGTTCTTGTCACACAACAGGAAAGAATAGGCTCGTGGACACATAGAAGGTGAGAAAAAACGGAATTTATTGGGAAAAAAGGAAAAAGGGAAAAGCTTTCAGTTTTTCTGAAAACTGAAAACAGTGAGAAGGAAGCCTGTTAACCAGCTTACACCCCACCACAGAGAAACTTAAGAGGCCAGGTTCCTCCCCTCTGCAAAAGGTGCGAACTTCCATGGCTCCACCCCATTCTCCTAGTGCAGGCTGGTGGGAGGTTCTCCAGGAAGCCCTTTTTACTTGGCTGTCTCAGTAGTGAATGAGTTCTCATGAGATCTGGTTGTTTGAAAGTATGTAGCACCTCCCCTCTATCCGGCTCTTGCTCAGCCTACATGACCTGACTGCTCCCCCTTCACCTTCCCTAGAAGTTGAGCAGATGCCAGCATTTTGCTTCCTGTATAGCTTGTAGAACCGTGAGCGAATTAAACCTCTTTTCTTTATAAACTACTCCCAGGTACTTCTCTTTCTTTCTTTCTTTTTTTTTTTTTTTTTTTTTTTTTATTTTTTTTTTTTTTTTCTTTCTTTTTTTCTTTCTTTTTTTCCTTTTTTTTTTTTTTCTTTTGAGATAAAGTTTTACTCTTGTCACCCAAGCAGGATTGCAATGGTACCATCTCTTCCCACTGTAACCTCCGCATCCCAGGTTCAAGCGATTCTCCTGTCTCAGCCTCCCAAGTAGCTGGGATTACAGGCACCTGCCACCAGTCCTGGCTGATTTTTCTACTTTTAGTAGAGACGGGTTTGCACCATGTTGGCCAAGCTAGTTTCAGACTCCTAACCTCAGGTTACCCACCTGCCTTGGCATCCCAAAGTGCTAGGATTACAGGTGTGAGCCATCATTCCTGGCCACAGGGATTTCTTTAGCGCAATGGAAGAATGGCCTGATGCACTACAATACAGGAACGTAGCAATCTACATGCTTTCTGATGGGTCAGAGAGAGAAGAGAACCATTAAAGACAGACAATTTGGGTTAATGGGTTGCTTCTGCTGTAATCTCCAAGCCTTGTCTCTCTCCAGACTTATAGACTCATTCAACTGGACATGAAAATTTGGAGCATTCAATTATTTAAATTCTGTTACCATAGCAAAGTTCCCTAATATTAGGGATGCCCTTCGAGTGTCCTCTAGCATCACAGACAAGGTGTTGGAAGCCATCTTGCATCCCTAACCGCTGTTAGCCTGATATAAGGAGAGCTGTTAGCAGGGGGTTTGGTGAGGCACTTGGCAGACTACAGCATCCTCTAGCTGTCAGATTTAAACCGCAAGACGTGTATACTCTGAATATCCCGAGAAATTAACCTAAACCTTAGAGTGTCAGGCAACCGTGTTTGGCAAGTGTGGACTAGCTTTTGATTGGTTATTTCTGGTTCAGCAGGTGGTTATTTCTGGTTCAGCAGGTGATCTATTCCATGCTGTATATTAGAAAACCTGCTGCATCGCAAGCTCTGTTAGCTCTCTACCCAGTTTTCCATTCTAGGCTAGTTCTTCATGAGTTTGGGAATTCAAGCTGTTTTTTCTTCTTCCTTCTCCTCCTCCTTCTTCTTTCCTCCTCTTCCTCCTTGTTCTTCTTTTTTAGTAGCTCTAGATACTTTTTTTTTTCTTTTGGGGCAATTCTTTAGTTTTATCTTATTTGCTGTCCCTGAATATAAACACATATTCCTTTTTAATAGGAAGATGTTATCGAAAGTTCCTATAGAAGAAACAGGCAATGCGTAACTCATGTGAGGTGACTGTAGCTTAACAGAAGCAGCATTGGACTTGAAATCAGTCCTGTATTATAATAAAAGCCTGAGTCTGCTGCTTTGTTTGCTGGCAATATTAAGCAGGTGATTTCACTTAGTTCTAAGTTTACTCATAAGAGAAGGATAATCTTACAGGGTTGTTGTGGCTCACAGATAAACCAAAGTGCACTGCACAAAGGTCTCAATGATCAGTTCATCTGATCTATAGTCACTGTTTTCCTTGTCAGATTATCTTTTGGGAATGGTTTGATAGTAGAAGAGACCATGCCCAAAGTTAATCCGAATCAGTCCTCCCCACCTACCCGCGTCAGGTTAGCACAGCACAAACCCATCAGGCCCTATGAAGCAGATCTCCCAGGAAAGCATAAGATAAAGTCTTCCATTCAAGCCTCAGGTTACCAGGGACCACCGCAGGCTCTACTTTACACTATTCACATTGGTAACTAATGGGGAACTGTCCCCGCTGAAGAAGGACTAAGGCTAAGTCCAGAAGCTGTTCCATGGCCTTGTTAACACAATGTAGTTTTTTTGTTGTTGTTTCCTCAATGATTCAAATCTTTTTGAGACAATTATGTCTGACTCAAAATCTACATTTTAAGGTAAGTGGAAAAATCTCAAAGGCCAAACTCTATTTCACCAAACAGGCAGCTCAGTGCCCATGTACATAGACATGGGCCAGGCATAATAGATGCTCAATCAAATCCCAAGGAAACCTTAAGGAGTTATTTCAATCAGGAAACTGTGATGGGTAATATGTTTCTGGATGGGGTATTTTCCAACTGTTCTTTAAAATGGTAGTCCAGTCCTCTGCAGAATTACTTGTGTTCCTGATCATCTGTGCTCTACCATTTAATATCTGCAATCACATTTTCTGAGACAGTGACTTTAGGCTGTGAGAAAGATGAGGAAGGAAAAGGAATTGTGAGGGGAAACCTGTCTGAAATGACAGGATTGCTGGCATTTTTAAAACTTGGTCTATTCTGAGTCTTGCCCACACCCCCGACCCTGGTATAATCAAACATACCTTTGAAGAAAAAGTAAACGGAAACAGCAGGGGTTATTTAGATGCATTTATTTAACAATCAGGCCAGCCAGGCCTTGCAGTGACCTGATGAGATTTCAAAACCTTTGTTCTCAGCAAACTCCAGATTTTTTAATGTAGACAGGAACCTGGCGCCTCCTGCAGTAGAGATTTAAAAAAAATAACCAGCTTAAGCTTTACTGACAAAAAAGAAAAACAGTGGGGAAAAAAAGCTTCATATAAAGTAGAGAGGTTTGAGATTTATAATCTTTTATCTATCTTTCATTCATTTATCCATTCACTTACTCATTAATTCATCAAATATTTATTGATTACTATTATATACACTAAGGATACAACAGAAAGGAAAAATATCTGTCCTTACAGTTTTTACGTATCTAGTGGCGTGTTACAGTGAAATTAACCTCAAATCAATTGTTGCATTTTTTGCTCCTGATGCCTCTGCCTTCACCACCAGGTTTCTATCCAGGCTGATGCCTGGGCTGTTGTTGAACCTCCTAATTGATTGATGTTTCATCTTAGAGCTCTGGGGATTCATATCTGTGAGGTCTTGCAAAAGTAAATCATGTCTTTATTCTACATCATTCTTGCCAGATCTAAACATCCTCCCCTCCAGATAAAACCTCTCTGCCCCACACTACCATTCCAAACCAGTTTTCTCTTCTCTAAGCTAAATATCTCTAAATTTTATAATTGTTCCTTAGAAGAGTATTTCCAGGTCTTTAATTTTTCTAACCACTTTTTCTTTGACTATAGTGGCTTACAAAAATTTTACTTCTCTATTACTGGAGGACATCTGACTTCCATATACTTTTATACAGGCATTTATCTGGACCTTGTTCACTCCCTTTTTTTTTTTTTTTTGACAAAGTCTTGCTCTGTTCCCCAGGCTAGGGTACAGTGTGCGATCTTGGCTTACTGAAGCCTCCACCTCCCTAATTCAAGTGATTCTCCTGCCTTAACCTTTCAAGTAGCTGGGATTACATATGTGCGCCACCACACCCGGCTAATTTTTGTATTTTTAGTAGAGATCAGGTTTTACCGTGTTGGCCAGGCTAGTCTCAAACTCCTGACCTCAAGTGATTTGCCAGCCTGGGCCTTCCAAAGTGCTGAGATTACAAGCATGAGCCACCATGGCCAGCCGAACTTATTTTAAGTTTTTAACACTTTCTTGTCCCACAATCATTAACTGCTCATAATACTGATTTCCAAATCAGTTAGCATACATAAGCACACACACCCAAACAGAGTAAACAAAAAAAAAGTGCTATGCTTTTAACTCTGATTCCATAGATTCACTATCGACCTATAGCTCTTTAAATTTAAATTAGTTTAGGTAATATTAAATATTCAGTTTAGCAGTTGTACTAGCTACATTTACATTAGTGTTAATCACCTTAAGGCCACTGTTTTGTGGCTAGTGGATATGTATTAGACAGCATAAACATAGAACATTTCCATAATTATAGAACAAATGTTCTATGAGAAATTCTGGTTTATGGAAAAGAATTTGCCAGTACAGATTCCCTGCAAAGATATAGAAGGATGAGAAAAAGTCTTTATTGAATATATTTGCCAAGCACATAATGACCAAGAAGACTGATTTGCAGGCCCTTGTTTGGTATTATCTACTTGTCTCAAAGTAGGGTCAGCGTCTGGCTTTATTTATTATGTAATAAGTTTGGGACTTTTAATCAACAGAAATAAAAGGCAATGTCATACATGAGGAAATATGTTGTTTTTGAGAAAGCAACTTTTTTTCTCTATACCTAAATTTTCTTATCTGAAAATATAGGAAGAGAGGTGCTGTTTTCTAGTGTACAAATGTTCCTCCCATATTTACATATTTTTGAACAAACAAAGTGTAAGCAGAAACTCGTAGGTTTCAGAGACTAAGAGGATTAGGGTGTCCCAGCCCTCTGCTCATAGTTTAGTAATGCTTCACTCTAAATGTTAAGTGGCACTTGGAAATTTTCCAAGTCTCAAATCTATTGTTCTCTTGCCTTCTCCTCCCATTGGATGGAAATATGATGTTTGAGCTTAATGTCAAGAACATGGGACATGAGAAAACTAACAAGTGGCTTCAAATTCCTTTTACAAGTCTTGATTATGGAAACACATTCATTACAAAGTAGAATACCAAATGTTTTTGGTCTAAAACTTCAGAATATTAGCCCTCTCATCCTGGGGACCTATTTCCACAATACTTGCTAAACTCTGAGAATTTTCTGAAATGGTTTAAAACAGCGCAAGAAGGTTTGCATTATAGGAAAGGAAATTTATGCTGTGGAATATAATGGAAATTTACACAGTCATTTGAGCCTGAGTCAAAGTCTTTAACATCAAGTCAATCCCAGAAAAACTAGTCACTCGTGGAATCCCTTATATTTGTTTTGCTCAATCCACACCTTTATTTAACCCAGCATGCTTTTTTGATACTGCCAAAATTCAGAGCTCTATTTAAATAGCTTTCTATTTTTTTTTTTTTTTTTGAAATGGAGTCTCTGTCTTGTCACCCAAGCTGTAGAGCAGTGGTGCGATCTTGGCTCACTGCAACCTCCGCCTCCCGGGTTCAAGTGATTCTCTGCCTCAGCCTCCTGAGTAGCTGGGATTACAGATGCCCACCACCATACCTGGCTAATTTTGGACTTTCAGTAGAGATAGGGTTTCTCCATGTTGGCCAGGCTGGTCTCGAACTTCTGACCTCAGGTAATCCTCACTTCTCAGCCTCCCAAAATGCTGGGATTACAGATGTGAACCACCACGCCCAGCAGGCATTTATTATTTTCCTGGATCCTTTCCTGACCCCTTTCAATAACAAAAACTATATATTTCTGCTTCACTCCTGTTGCACTTTATTTACACCAAGTCTTCTGGCATTCGCCCCAAGTTATAAGAAGCCATCCTGTATGTACTTATGACGTTTTCTTAGTCATAAGCACAAGTAAGACAGGGAATATTAGCATAATGCTTGACACATGCTAAGGGTCCAGTTGCTGAGTGAAATAGGAAATCTGTGTGGAATCTATTTCTCTCTATCCCATTGCCTACATATGGACACTGAGAAAATAAAGCTTTATTGAAGCTGTCTTTCATATCCATAAGTAAAAATACATTTTTAATTGTCTAATCGATAGAATTTATATTTACATAACTGAGTGCTTTAAAAAACACAATCACTGCAATCATTAATTTTTTTAATTAATTAAAGGTATTTTTTGTATATAAGATTTATAAAAATCCAAGCTCTTGACTATTTTGCTGTAATAAAAAAGTGGGCTTTTATCATACAAGTGACTTTTTAAAAATAACATTATAATGCTAAATATATAAAAAGGAGAAAAAGCGATAATTGTTTTTGAAAAAAGTAAATATTTTGCTTCTCTCAGGGCGGGATTCATATTGTCAGTATATTTGAAGATAACTAACTTAAAATATATAGTTTAAAAGAAACTCAAGTTTGTACTCACTGATTTTCAAGACATAACATGCATTCATTGCCGTAAGTGACTCCATTAGTCCCGCAGACAGGGTTGAATATCTTGGTGCATCCATTAACTGTATTGTAACAGTTGGGCTAAAAATTGAATTAAACAGAATCATTTCCCATCATTCTCCATTCTTGAGTTTATAGCAGAATCTCTGAAATGGTTTTAATTTCTCTGGGGCATGACTGTGATTGAGAGAATGATAATGTGTGTGGTAAGAGAAATAACCTGAGATCTGGAGACAGAAAACCTTGTTTGAAGTCATGCCTCTGCTGTTTCTAAGATGTATGACATTACAAAGTCCTTTGGCCCTTCTGAAACTCAGTCAGTTCTTCTGCAAAATCACTATCTCATAGCGCTGTTGTGAGGTTTATGCAAGATAGGTGAGAAAATGTTCAAGTTTTACAATTACTGCGGGTGCCAGCATCTCTCAGGTTGGCCACACCTTGGGGCATGTTCTTCCTTGAACACTGCAGTCCACACACACTGGTCTTCTCTTAGGCACTTAAAGGCACTGGGCATCTTCCAGTGTTGGAAGGCTTTGCATTCTACTCTAGTAAGAGTTTATGATCATCAAACAGGACTGTTTGTCATTGTCCTAAATGCTGTCCTAGTGCCTTTGTGTATTATTCTGTTTAAACCTCCTAACTATCCTATGAATTAAGTATTATATTCTTCTTCAGGTGAGGATAATGAGGCACAAAGCAGTAAAATCAGCCAAGGCCATGCAGCTAAGGAATTCCTAGGTTCAGAATTCAAACCTAGACATTAGAATTTCCGACCTTTAGCTCTTAACTACTTCATTCTACTACATCTCCCCGCCACTTACGTTTTGCTAACACTCATTTTATTTATTTTTTGGCTCAAAATGACCCTTCACTTACTTAGGAGTAAGTGATCTGATCTTACTCCCTGATCTCTCTAACTAGGCTAAGTTCGTAATGGCAGCAGAACTTTTTCATAGCACTTATCACAAATGTAATAATGTATTCATTCATGAACGTTTGGTCTATCAGCTGTCTCCCACTAGATGGAAATGTACTGAGAAGAGGCACACTTTTTCCTCTGGTTTCCAAATTTACTGAAATTACCTTTTAAACAAAAAACACTATATTTTTCTAGAAGGAGAACCTAGTTTATTATTTTCTGTTGTTCATTATAAATTAGAGCTACACCTCGGTGACTGGGAGAGCTGTATGTCAACATGGTCAAACTGGCTGTAAGGAAGAAGAGCTACTTGGAGTGAGCTTGAGAAGGCTTCCACCCTAAATACTTACCTACAGCTATCACTAGTGTATATAAAAAACCCTGTCACAGTAAGCACTATAGCACTGTATAGCACTTGCTTACGCGTCAGTGAAACTGTCCTTCAAGATAAGCCTGTGGAGTGGAACTGCTATTACCGTTTGCATTTCACTGGTTAACCCTCCCTGGCATTCATACTACTGTTAACTTCAAGCTAAACTGAAAGGTGACAGTTAGGCTGCATTTTTATTGGATCAAACTGTTTCAGCCTGAGAAATAAGAAATTACAAATTTCTCTTTACCTTTCTTCCCTCGGGTTCAGCTCCGGTGTTACCTAGAAATAAACCAGACCTGTTAAGTTGGCTCCTAAATGAGAGAAGTCAGATCTATTCTTTGTCAGAATGCTCTGCTTTCATTGTAGACTGTGGCTTCTTTACTGGGCTCTTTACCCTTTCCATATTCTGTAATCTTCCAAAAGTATCCTGCACCCCTCGCCTGACAAAGCCTTAAAATAATTAAGTAAAACTTTGATTATGACCAAAGTATCTCGATTTAATGTTTTAGCAAGTTGATCAATTTCCTTGAAAATAGAAATTATGTGCTTACGGCTGGAAATGTATCAGGCACTGAGAAAATTAACTTTTGAACACTCACTAACATTCACAAAACCAGTTACTCGATCTTTAATCTTGCAACTAGTGAAGTATAATTTTTATCTCAGTTTACAGCTGTAAGTATGGAGAGTTTTTATAATTAGCTGTGACACAGTTATCACAAGCAGTAACCAGGTCTTCTGATGCAAAATTAGCTTTTTCAATTACATTTAAATCCCCTTTTGTAAGTAATGTTAAAAAAATAGAATTCTTTTGCCAACTCACCACAAATTCCCAAAGAGCTATTTCCAACAGTTGTATCATATGGACTATGGGTCCAACTCACATTTGTAGAGTTTACAGGTAGTCAAAATACCTCATCTGCATTCCCCAGAAAATAACAGAAGTTTTGCTGACAACATGTAGGGAATGATAACTATGGATGAGTTCATGGAAGGGAAAGGGAACTAATCTGATAGCATCCAAATGAGGAAATATTGGTAAAATTTAATTTTAATATTGACAATCTTTAAGGTGATCTGGGTAAGGAAGTAGCTCTTTATATCTAAATGTAATGAAAATTAGTGAGGCATCTATGATCTTGGTGAAGTTCCCCTGGGATAGTCAGAACTTGTTGTTGGGGGCCCACTGACTTTTAGAATCTAGTTGAGTCTAAAAACTGATGAGCAAGTGCTCATCACAGGCATGTGTTTATAATAATTAACATGCATGAGCAGGGGAAAAGGGAACACTAACTGCTACCATAAATATTCAGCTAATACAACAAACAACATTCTTCCTTTTCTTGGCAAAGTGCTGATTTGGCTCTCTGTAGGATCCTTCACTACATCAGAAGTGAAGTTGAAAATGTTAATAAATTGCAGTGATAAAAAGGAAACTGATCTTGACTCTGCGGGTTCAGAGTTGCCTGTCAACATTGTCAAGTTGCAGTTGGGGGTATATGTGCACCATCTATTCAAGCAGAATGTTTCCTTTCAAAACACTCTGCTGGTCAAAAATAATTTTTCAAAGTAAAACATGTAACTTTATTTGTAGTCAACATAATTTACATTGCAAGAAAATCCTAAGGAATCTATAAAAAAAAAAAAACAAAATTTTAGAATTAGTGAATTTAGTTACGCTATAGTATATAATGTAAATACACAAAACACAGTTGTATTTCCAGATACTGATAAAGAATACCGGAAATTGAAAATAAAAAAATTCCCTTTATATGATATATATTAGCTATTCAGGGATAAAGCTGACAAACTGTACATGATTCCAGTACACTGAAACCTATACAACACAAAAAAATTTTTAAATCAGCCAAATCATGCCTTTTATACCGAAGAACTGGAAGCCATTTTATCTGTTTTATGCAATTCCATGAGAATTTAAAATTTATAATTTGGCCTTACACATTAAAGAATTAGAAGTATACTTAAAATATTTTTACCCTTTTTTGTCTACCACATTCCTCCAAAGGGCCAGCCACATCACTAGAGAAAAATCACTTTATCTCTGGGCAATTCTTACTAGGAGACTTGCTTTCCTTACAGTAGGTTAAAAAATTCCTTCTAAAAAGTAATTCTTATCTGTTGATCTTATTTCATCTTATCCGGTCCAAAAGATGTCTCGAAGACCAGACTACATCAAAAATCCAGAAGATAAAGTGCTCCACAAAGCAACAGCTCAGAAAGGTTTTATTCAAATTTGAAAAATCTGCAAAAACACTTACCAGATAGACTCAACAGGACCAAAGCACTGAGAAGACAGATACCTGTTACCCTCATGGCTGAAATTCTGCGTCCAGAGGTCACTTGAAAACTGCACTGCACTTGCCACGTCTCCTCAGAAGCCTGGGACTGGAAGGGTCGTATGGCAGATGGCAGCAAGGCCCCACCTGCCAGACTATATCACAGATCTCCCTGGTTATTGATTGACTTTGTGTTGTAGCCTGGCCTCCAGGTTCTGGGAATGTCACCTGTGTAAGAAAGGTCAAAGGACCCAGGGGGGCCTGAAACATGCAAGACAAATATTTTGTCAGAAAAATGGTTCTGGTGGTTAGTTAGTTTAATCCCGAACTCCCTCTATGTTTGTGGGAATGCCATTCTGTTCCCAAGCTCGTTTTCTCCCCTTTGAGGTGATCTCAAAGATCCCTTCTACTCTGTAGTTCTGGATAGATGAGCAGGTATGGATAACTAAAAGGCCCTCCCCATTCTTTCTTCCTTTCCTCCACTCTTCCTTTCTTATTCTTTTTTCTCTTTTCTCTATTTTTCCATCACCCATTCACAAAGTCTAAAGTAGCTGATGGAGTGGCAGATGAGAGAGAGAGCGAGAGAGAGAGAGAGGACTCAGTTCCCTAAAGTGTGTATTCTGGAGCTAGAGGTTGCTTGTTGGGGCCACTTTTGCTGTGCTTCCGTGTATGACTCTGGAAACTGAAATAATAATAACATCTAACTCAAAGGGTTACTCTTTCATTGGAGACTGTGTGCTGGGTGTCTACCATGCATTCTTAGAGGACAGTTCTCCATTTTCTCTCATGTTTGTGTGTCTTATGAGTAGAGGTACTGATTACCTTTGTTTCAGACTATCTTTTTAAGGGGTATTTGTGCACCCTTAAAATAACCTTAGTAAATACGTAATTTCTCCATCTGCATCAAAAGGCAGGTTGGTTTACTGTTTAGCATAATAAAGTTAATATCTCCTGCTAGGGCAAAGCTCATGTTAATTGCCCTTTTTAAAAGACTTCAGGTTTTTAAGAGCTTGGCTTTGCTTTCCTTTAACACACTGTGCTTTCTCTGAGTATCACTTGATGCTCTTCATAGTGCCCTGTGGAAATCGGGGCTTGGGAAACCAGAACAAATTCCAACACTCTGGCTGTTGCTATGGAATAATTAAGTCCCTTATCTCTGAGCCAGGAGTCTGTGCCTTCTGCCAGAAGCCATTGTAATGTGGCAGGCTAACTTCTTACCCTCCAAGCAGGATGAAATCTGAAATCCTTCCCAAGTCATGACAAGAACTATAGTTATCTCTTGGGACAAATCAGTAAATAAAAATAATAATCTCTGTCTTCATGGAGTTTCCATTGCATTTTTGTTGTGGGAGACAGGTGACAAAAAATAATAAATTATTATAAAATGTATCAGATAAATATTATGGATAAAACGATAGGAAGGATAAGTGTGCTGGAGGGTTTGGGAGCTATGTCTCAGCGTCATCAGAGAAGGTCTTGCTTTTCAGGTGACATCAAACAGAAACATGAAGGAAATGAGGATTCGAACTGTGCAATTATTCCAAGGATGTGCATTTCAGACAGAGAGAATAGTAAATGCAAAGGCTCTGAGGCTGACGCTGGCTTGGCATGTTTGAGAAATATCCAGGAGGACAGTCTGGCTTGAGCAAAGTGATCGAGGGCAAAATGGAAGATGAAATAAAGGAAGCAGTGAGGGCCTGTATCTAGTGCAGGCTAGAGTCAGGACTTTGGTTTTTATCACAGGGAAGCTTTGGAAGTGTTTAGTTCTTGACACCGTGACTTGGATATCTTACAGATACCTCAAATCTCATATGTCCTGTACTACTATTGTAATCTTTCACCACGATATTTTTGTCTTTATTCTCCCTACAGCTTTTTTTCTTTCCAGTAAATCACTCAAGCCCAAACCTCATTGTTCTCCCTGCTACTTCCCTTTCCCCTTTCTGTGCATCATCTTCCACACTTTGCTACTAAGTTGTCTTCTTGGATCCATGTACAAAATAACCTCAATCCCGGACACTTCTCATCAGCTTCCACTGTCATATCTAAGATGATGCCACCATGTCCCCCCTGGGTTTCTGCATCTCCTTCAAAGAGTTTCTCGATATTTACTGTTATTTCTTCCTTAAAGCTGCTGCTCTTAGAATGGTGAAGGGATCTTTATGGCTGCAAAGTTGATAATGTCTCTGTCCAGTTTCTCATTGTTCAAAATACTCAGAAAGAATTTAGGTTCTACATGACTTGGCTCCTTACTGTGTTTATTCTCCTTACTGCTCAATCTGGTCCTTTCCTTGCTACATTGGTCATTTCTCTGTTACACTTTACTAGGACCAAAAACAAAACAAAACAAAACAAAAAAGCTTTTCATCTTCTAAGGTTAAAAGGTTAAATGGTATTTTCTCATGAAGCCATTCTTTCTTTACTCCTTTCTGCATCTAGATAAATCCATCCTATTGTATGATTTCATAAAAGCCTTCATTGCTTTTAAAATAATTCTAACTCTATAGCTCTTTGTATAATTATTACACATCTTTTTACTTTAAGGGAGTAAATACAGTTGCTTTATTTATTGTAGCACCTAACAAAGTGTCTGGGAAATAGTAGATACTAAATAAATACTTTCTGAAAACATAAATTAAGTGAAAAATGCATATATTTCTGAAGATCAAGATTTATGCCTTGTTCATTTCTGTGTCTCCAGTGCCTCCAGTTGAGTAATTATTCATTGGTTCATCATTTGGCCTTTTATTCGTTCAACTATTAGTATATTCAAATATTCATCAAGTCCCTGCTATATAAAAATTTTTGGCAGAGTGCTAGGGAAATGAATATGATGTCTGCCCTCACGGAGTTTAGTCTTAGCATTGATAGCTCTTGGTTGAATCTGATTTGATTTGATTTGAAATGAAAACATATTGGTTCTTTTTGTCTCAAATCATTATTTAAATGGTAGTTTTGTTGCTAGTAAGAAACTTCCGATAACCACTGAAAAGGAGTGTTAATATGTGAAAAACTGATTTTTTTCTTGTGTCTCACAAGCAGTGTGGGGAGAAGGGAACTGGCTGGGATTTGGTAACAGAAACTCTTTAGATAATAGTAACATCAGTAATAACTTTAGATTTAGGCCTGCCTGATGCCAAAGCCTGGGTTCACTGTGAAAACAAACAGTGCTTTTTAAACATTTTGACTGTGAACATGAAGTAAAAATTTTGGAATATGGCCTAGTATATGTAGACCCATGAACAGACAAACACAGTTGTTAAGAAAAAAAGTCTTATTATATATGAGGACTCTTGATACTTTTTTATCCTATTCCATCTCGGCTCACCAACCCTAATCTGCAATTAGAAAAACATTTCACTAAAGAAAGGTATTCTGTGGACCCCAAACAATCTTGTTTTTTAAGTCACTACAATACTAAGAAACAATTCTAGTTAGAAACTGGCCCTAAGTTTGTAATAGGAAATGGGCTTGTTTAGACAGCAAGTTAAAGAGGATAAACAAAGCCCATGGAGACAGGGGCCTGTCTCCAATTATAAATCTGCCATTTCAACTGTGACATGACTGGGTAAAACAGTGTTCTCAATTACAAAAATACACATACAGTATTCTTTGGTGTGAGAATAAACCTAGAAACTGTAAGTAAATATTGTGCAAAAATATTATTCTTCACATCTCCAGAAATTGTGATTACTGTCTAGTAATAATATCACCCTCCTTGCACGAATTAGATTAATAGAAAATATATTGAGGCCTCATATGATCAATTCTTGGCAGAATAAATATTGTTTGCCCTGGGAGATAAGGAGTGCACTGACCAGAGAAATCCTGCTACCGTGCTAGACGATCAGTCATATTGAATGTGTTCACATTGCTCAACCTTGTGTAAATTTTTTCCTTCTTTACCTCTCTGAGTACATATTTATGCATGTCTATCTTTGAGAACTCAAGCAAACATATTATGACGTACTCCCCTCTGATTCAAGGGCTAATTATTTACCCGAGTAAAGAAAGATGACAAAACTCAAGACAATTGCTCTAATGAATGTTGTTAATACGTGCTAGAATGGGAATGTTGGCCTGGCACCTGCTGATTTTCACATTCTGTGCCCAAAGTTTAACTAGTAAGAAAAATGACAGAAACTAGAGCCATGCAGCTTATTATATTTAGCCTGGCATTTGGAGACCTCCTTGACATAGCTGCATCTTAATTCTTCAGCTTGTATTTTTCATTACTTAAGGAATTTCGTGACTTTTCATAAATGACCTCTTCTTTTTATTCCACTGCTTGTTCTCCAAATAGTTTCCATGGTTTTGAATGTATCCATCCTCTACAGCTTGGCTCAAATGTCTGTGGTGCTTGATGCAATTAGGAATGATTTTCTCACTTTCCTTTGCCACTCATAGCAGTTTGTAAAGCTATCACTTAATAATCACATGGATTACATCCTCCTCCTCATCATGATCACTATAACCACTACGAATATTTTTCAAAGCTTGCTATTCATCAATCGCTGCAGTATTTTACTTTCATCATTTTTAATCCCAAAAACATTGTTATTTCTTTTTTATATGAAAGGAAAATAAAGCACAGAGATTTCAGTTTTCTTGTTCCTGGTCACAGAGACCATATTTACTGATCGTGTGTGTGTGTGTGTGTGTGTGTGTGTGTGTGTGTGTAAACTTAATGTCATGGTTAGAACATTGGATTAAACTCCAAGAAGCCAGGATTCTTAATTTTTTTTTTTTGAGACAGAATTTCACTGTTGTTACCCAGACTGGCATGCAATGGCATGATCTCGGCTCACTGCAACCTCCGTCTTCTGGGTCCAAGCAATTCTCCTGCCTCAGCCTCCCGAGTAGCTGCGACTACAGGCATGCACCACCATGCCCAGCTAATTTTTGTATTTTTAGTAGAGACAGGGTTTCACCTCACTGACCAGGATGGCCTCGATCTCTTGACCTCGTGATCCACCCGCCTCGGCCTCCCAAAGTGCTGGGATTATAGGCCTGAGCCACCGGGCCAGCCAGGATTCTTAATTTAATATTGTCATTGACAAACTGATGTTTTGCAAGGTCCCTTTGCTGCTTTCAACTTCCTTAGATAGGTATATGTATTACAAGCACCTTCTACTGAGTAGCTTAAAATTTCACCCTCTTAATGTCTTTTGAAGAACAAAAGCTCTGAATTTTAAATGAGTTCAATTCAGCAATCTCTTCCTCTCTCATATGTGTTTTTATGTACCCTGTTAAAGAAAAAT